AATAAAATAAAATAAAATAAAATAAAATAAAATAAAATAAAATAAAAGCAATGGTTTTAGGACTTGTTGCTCAGTACCTAGATCACTGAGGTGGAAAAAGCTGGTATGGAAATAATTACTTTTGGAGAATATAGTTGGTATGTTATGGCAACTGTCTTGTCAAATCTAATGAGGGGTTTTGACAGGAACACAGAGAATTTTTCTTTGCCATTGGAGTTAGGGAGAGTACAGGGCACTTGCTTTGAGTCCATGCCCGGAAAAGCTTAAAGGTGAGACACTGGTTGGTTGGTACCTGTTTTAATGAGAGAACATTGGTATGCCATTCTAAAGCTCAATTTAGTATTTGGTGCTAATACTAAATCTGTAATTTAATGTCATTGTTAAAAGCATGCATAATAAAGCTGTGACCACCAAGTCTTGAGTCTTGGCTCTCATCTCTGGGCCTTGTACCATTGGGTAAATCCATCTCCCTAGGCCTCAGTTTCTTCAACTGTAAACTGAGGATAACAGTACCACTCTTCTCTTTTTGGGAAAGTTTAATAAGATAGTACATGCAGCAGTGCCTGCCCATAGTATGCACTCAGTAAAAGTCAGTTATTGTAATTATTATTACATTAGAACCCAGCTGTGCTTTCTTTCACTGACAACAGGCAGAGGAGTATGTTTCCTGTGCGTCAGATATGGACCTTACGGAATGGGGCCAGTTTGGTCTTCTTACGTATATTTTTAAAGGGACTTTGTCCAAAAGTGTAATATGACAACAGAGAGGTGAATAGCTGGAAAACAGAGACTAATGAAATGACTGTAAGCTCTAAAAGGCACAAACTAATAAGAAATCTTCAGGAAAGACATGTATAACAATTGGGGACAGGTCCCCGAGGAACCTATGAGAGTATTCTATGAGAAAAAAAAGGTCTGTTTTAATTACCAAGCAAGCTCAGATCATCAGTGTGAGATCAAGAACATGCCAATTAAGCGGGATCTACCCTGCTGCTTACCTATTCTTCTCCTCACACACACTCTATGAATGGGTTAGAGACTTTAGCATGAGAGCCATGAGAAAGAAGTACTAGCTTTTGTGATTGTGATAGAACAAGTAGGGCCAGGAAAAATGAAGTTGTTTTATTTTAAATTAAATTAAATCAAATTAAATTAAATTAAATTAAATTTTATTTTATTTTATTTTAAATTTGCAATCCATGATGTCTGGCTCTTTTAATCTAACCATTTGGTGTAAGATGTTATTTTGTGTTTTTTCTATATGGAACGCTATAAAAAAATCATCAATTAAGCTTAGCAAGTATCTTTTGAGTGCCTAATGTTGCAAGGTTCTGTGCAAAAAAGATGCTGTAACAAAAGTGATCCACTTATGTCCTGAATAAACTGCCATTCAGTAAAAGTTTCATGATATGTTTGGTTGGTTCAGTGACCGGGCATCATGCATATATCATTATAAAGTGTCAATTGTAGACTGTCACTATATAGGATAACCAGTGGTCGTACAACAGACAGCTTCTTATAAGGAATTCTCAGGTTTCTTAAAGATAATTAAGTAGAACTAAATCTCTGTCAAATGTTTGAATAAAGGACAAAGGATGACTTCTGGTTCATACTTGAGTATCCACTCTGTCTACAGTAATAGTATTTAAATTGACAGTGCTTTTACAACCTCACCTCATGGACTCATCTTTCTTTAACTTGTTTTCAGTTTCAAAGGACATTTTAATATACCACTATACATGAGTTCTGGCACTGGAATATCACCAACCCTATTAATCAACTGAATCTGCTTGTGGTTTTCCATGATGGTGTCATTTTTTGAGTAATATGGAATCAGATAATCTCTCACTGATGATGTATCTCAGTAAATCACTCTCTGAGTGCTGATAACATAATGACAATAACATATTAGCATAATTCATCATCACATGTACCTTTGCTCTGGGGATGTTTTATTGTAATGTATAATACACTGGCTGTCACTCTGATGATGTATTACAGCAAGACTTCCTCAGGAAAAAAACGCCTTTTGATGGAATACTATTCATATCAGATGGTACTGCCCAGGGATAAACAGTTGAAAAAAGTTTGACTTCATTTGCTATAGAATCCACATGAAGGTCAAAGGCACTACAAATGGTAAAAGATAGTTTGGAGACAACAGGTATCTATCTCTCTGTTATAAAACAGTTTCTAAAAGTTCAATTTTTGGTTCCAAGTAGGTTACAGCAGGTTTTTATCCCTAGTAAATATTTAATATCCACAGCACTGACACTATGCAATGGAAGTTTCTACAGCCTGGAGTACTACTCAGTGAAATGACACTCTTAAACAAGATGTGGAGCTTGCTTGGGGCAGAAGTGAAGTGACTTCCAAGGACAGATTAAAAGTGAATGCAATATATTATAATACCTTTCCTGCAATTTTGCCCCTTGAGCTACCCCATAGAATATTAGATATGAAAAGGACTCATAGATTCATCTATTTCATGGCCTAGAGAGAGTAAGACTTACTCTAGGTCACACAAAAGTGAGGGGTAGAGGCAGGACCAGACACTAGGTTTTTTGATAACTGTTTCGGTGCTTGATATAAGATAATCAAAGTTAACTGAGGACCATTTGCAACTTAAATAGCTAAAATAGGGTACAAGTATGGGGCTAATATGCTGAGCACAAAGTTCTTTATTTCTGTTACCTTTGATGAAGACCTTCATCAAAACAATGTCTACTTGACCAAGCACAACTATAACCATCCACTAGAAGAAAATGATGATGATGATGATGATGATAATAGCTAACACTTACTGAGCGCTTACTGGACACTGTGATAGACATGTTGCAAATATTACCTTATTTTGTTCTTTCAATTTGTCGAAACACTTGCCCTGAAGCACGGATTCCAGAAAACAATGGTCTTAAATCAGCATATACAATCTTAAATCTTATCAACATCATTTTTTCCTTCTAAAACAAAATCCTTGTTCAACAGTGAAAAACACAAGGCTCATGTGTCTTTGATGCAATCACTTTTGCTGATAATTATGCCCATGAAATCCTCCTAGTTATATTTTCTAAATAGAAGAAACAATTGTTCCCCAGAAGACGAGGCATGACCTTGTTTTATGTATTCTAGAAAAACGGCTTTATTTAAACATATACTGGTGCTGCTGATCCTGACCTCTGAATTTCCCTGCCAACAATTTATGTGCCTCTCCTTGTTTAGCTGATGTTGTTTAGCATCTTCCCAGGATGCCTAATTTAAATGATAAGGCACCCACACTGGCAGGTCCTCTGTATCTCCTTATGTTCTACCAGGGCAGAGCACTTCATATGTGCTCAATCTTCTCTGCAAATGCCTATCTCACTGAAGCAGACAGTATTTTCCTCATTTACTTTCTTTATTATTATCAGATCATCATAGAGTCTTGAGAAGGGCCACTTAGCAACCACACATGTCATCCTCTGAATCACCGTCATAGCTTCAGTGTAAACATGCCAGCTGACCCTAAGAAACATTAATAATATTACAGCTTTTAATATCTCAATAGATGCTCATAATGCTTCTCTTATTTCTAAAGGTCAGGTAACCACTGGTAATGGCGGAGTGCACAAAGGATAATAATCTATTGGGTAAAATGTGTGATTTTGTGAAGAGACTACCCACATGTATTTTTTAATTTGGAAAACAACAGGGCAGAAAATTGAGGTCACTGATAACTGAGTTACAGTAATCTGAGTATGAATGGAAAAGCATAATGTTTCAGAAAAGTTTTTCAGCAACTTTGGGCTACTATGAAAAGATGTCACTATAAATCAAAAGCAAACAAGTCACACACAGAGATGTTTCAGTGCTTTTTACAAGGCATTGTAAATCACATAAATTATTCAGAAAATGGCAGTGAGGTCCAGGAGAA